TTTAAACTAGAGGCCAGATAACCACTACTGTCTACAAAGAAGATCAGATCGAAAATTTTTAGATCCATCACCTATTCCCAGCATGTGCAGCCTTAATTTCCCATAATGCCTAGCTTTATGCTTTGTCCTGAGGCATTATGGGAAATGAAAAAAGAATGTAACTGCTGGCAATGATGCTTTAACTGCAGAAGCACTACTGCTCAATAAGCCTACTGTGAAATCTTTTTACTAACCCCCCCCCCCTCCCCGCAGTTCTAGTCGTAATTCAAGTCTTCTAAACGTTTTCTTGGGAGTAAACCCCCAGTGGAATAAATTAGTGTAAATTTATTCCAGGGCAAATATACTACAAACGGCCAGGCGTTCCTCCTGCCTTTAGAACCTATCTTTACAACTGCCGGCTGTGTGTGTGTATGTACGTGTGTTGCCATGCTGACCTCCGCTGGCTCCAATCCAGAATCATGACGCCACCTTCGCCCCGCCCCCTGCTCTCGATCACAGAGGCCCCGCCCACGTTCCCCGGCCGCCGACGTTAAAATAGCAGGCGAGTCCAACGAAACGCAGACTCAGGTGAGGAAAGAAAGGCGCAGAAGGAAAAAGCCGTTGTAATTCATCTCCTTTTTCACGGCTTTCGCACTCTTACATCCCCGTGGGATACTCGACGTACCGCGGATGACTCTGCGCCGGGAGGAAGAGCCGCAGTTCTCCGCTAACGTGAAACCCCTTGAGGTGTCTGCCCCCCCTCTTTCGGTGGGAGCGGTTGGACGCGCCCAGCGCGCGTCATCCATTGTTTACAAACCAACCGCAGCACCAACAACAGCGTTGGAGAAGGCAGGGAGCGTGCGGGAGAAGGCTCGCTTGGCAGTTACGAGCGCCTTGGCTGCGGTGGCCGCCCCAGAGACAACCACGCGTGCTAAGCGGAGGGCGAAAGCAGGCAGGAGAGCAGCGGCGATGCCTTGCCGGCGGCCGGGCGGAGAGCGCTTCCTATTCCTGGAGCGCGCCGCCGTCTCTTTGCAGAGCGGTACCGGGACGGCCGGCAGCGGCTCGAAAGAAGTGGACGCCTTGGTGGCCAAGCTGGGCGAGGTGCTGCAGTTGAGCTCCCAGCACCGGACGCCGGCGGCACCCCGCCTCCTCCCGAGGCATCACGGCCGGGACCGAGTAGCTCCATACTCGTCCCCGAGAAGTCTGGGCTTCTTAGCCTCGCTACACCACCGCCACCCGCCGCCCCACCCGCGCCAGTCGCCCTCGCTGCTCCTTTGGCCGCCGCCGCCCCCTCCTCCTCCGCCCACTGCGGACCAGAAGGGCAGCCCGCGGGTCTCCAAGCAGCTGTGCGGCCGGGGCTGGTTGCGGAGCTCCGCTCGGGCCGGGAGGAAGCAGCAGCCCCGTCGCTACCACCATCACCGCTACCGCTCGCTGCTGCCCGACGACGACGAGGACGACGACCCTCACCGCCTCCTGCAGCAGCTCATCCTCTCCGGCAACCTCATCAAGGAGGCGGTGCGGAGGTTGCAGTTGGCGGCTTCGACGGCGGCCGAGACTTCTTCCACCACGGGCTCCCCGGGCTCCGTCTCATCCGCCGGGAGCTGCTGCCGTTGCAGTAGCAGCGACGGAGACGCGGGCTCAGCCTTCACCGTCGCCTCTTTGCAAGCCTTGCCCTAACCCCGCCGCGTGGTAGCCTGGCCCCGCTTCTTCCCGGGAAGGGGGCCTCGGGGGAAGAGACCTCGCCTATTCGGCTTCCCTGATCCCGGTACGCGCGGGGGTCGCCGACTGCAAAGCCCCCCAGAGGCGGATTGTTTAAGCCACGGCCAGATACTTGAAGCAGACCCTCGCGGGGGCTTTGCCAGGACTTTCAAGCGATGATTCTCGGTCGCTTTTTTCATTACTCTTGAGCCACTTGACGATCTGCTGCCGTTTCTCTTTTCGGGGAAACGAAACAAAAACAAAACAAAAGACAGAGGTGCTATTGCGGCTCCGGACGGTGGTTCTCCAGCCTCCCGCCCGGCCGTCGATCAGTCCCGGTCCCGTCCCACGTCTGTCCCCAACCCCCTGCCCGACGATCCGGATCTGTCTTCGGTTGCTGGAGTTGGCGCCTGCCACCGGGGCGCCCCAAACCCTACCTCTCTCGCTGTCTGCCCTCGGTGTGGGGAGCGCAAAGAAGGGACCATCCCGCGTGGCATTGTCTAGCGTGGAATCCGCGCGCCCGCGCGCGCCCCCTCGTCTGGGTGCGCGGGTTAGGACACATGGGGCTGTTGAATAGTAAAGACCTGTCCACGTACACGATCGGAACGGGGGGGAGGGGTGGACACCCTAGAGTGGACGCTGCTGGACACTGAAATATAATCCGCTTTGGATCGCCCTTCCCCATCTTTCTCGCGAAGGTCACCCTTTTTTTTCTGCCCCCAACCCCGTGTTTTGGTGTCTTTGCTGTGTTCCCCAGGCAGGTGGCCATGGTACTGTAATCCTATCCCTGATTGTTTTGACTGGCAAACCCTGTTGTGTTTTGTAACGGCTGGGAGTCTCCTGAGGACGAACACGTTGTTCCAAGCTTTCCTCTCCTCTCCACACACACCCCACTCCGCTTCGTTCCCAAAGCTCCTCCTCTCCTTACAAGCTGGGTTTTTTTTTTAAGGAAGGGGGTCATATTTCAGCAAGCTTTCTAGGAAAACTACCCGGGTAATTGGGGAGGGGGGGATTTTCTCCAGCCAGAACAGAGCCCAGAGATTTGCTTGTTGGTTTCTGTATGTCGTGGCAAGCCAATACGCCCCAAAGAAGGAAATAAATTCTTGCCCGTTTCTGATTAGCTGAAGAGAAAAATTCCATTTCTGATGACCCTTGTCTGCACCCTCCCCTCTGCCATTTCTTCTCCTTTGGAGCATTCATAGTTGTTTTTGAAAACAGAAAACAAAAACCTAGAAATACAATCTGTATGAAGCCATTTTTTTAAATTACAAAAAAAAATAGGAATCTAAAAGCTGGAAAGCAGCTGGCTTCAAACTGAACATTATCAGAGATTGTGGATGAAGTACTCTGTTAACTGAAGGTAGCTAATCGCAAGCTTTTAAAAATAAAAACAATATAATGTGTGTATATATCTATATGCGTGTGCACACCCTCTGGTTTAGCAGAAGCAGTTGTGAACTAGGTATGTGTGTATAAGTGCTTTTACGCATATTTATATATATACACATATGTACACTTCGTAACGGAGTGTTGAAGTTGTGTTCCTGGTTTTCAGGGGTTGTCTTTAATGTGTATCTATTGAATAAACATGGTAGATTTTATATATTAAAAATGGAGTCTTCTGTGTCCTTTGTCCTAGAATGGTTTATGATGCCTCCTTAATGTGCATAACCAATTATTTTGCCTATTGCTGAGAAAGCTGGTTGGTTGGTTGAGGTTTTTTTTTTTAGCACAACTGGTAGAGGGTGCAGTGGAAAAATCTGGTTAGGATTTCTGCACTACGCCAATCAGTTCCTTTGTTTCCTGCCAAACACGATTATGGGCACTTTTGTTCATATTGCTCTTGATACTGCCTCTGAATGCAATAATATTTGAAACCTCTAATTTCACCCTACTCCCCCTTCCTCTGAACACTTTGTGGTAAGAGAAAGAATGACGCGCTGGACCCCTTGCAGCAGGTCTTAACTTGATTACAATTGAGCTCCAGTCATCTTGGATGCAATCCAGATCCACTGACATCACTAGATGGCTCTCCATTTGAAGTATTTAAGAAGAGAAAAGCTTTCTCTAGATGCCAATTAAAATAAATGCCAATTAAAATATGTTCAGAAAAAGCATTTGACGTTTGCTTTGGATTACTAGCTATAATTCAATCTAAAGTATGTCTGCTTGCTGTTCTACTGTTTATCTATGTCCCAATTTCAAACTCAAAATATATTTCTTTGTTGGTAGATAACTTAGTCATAAAGAAAGTGATAAAGCATTCTGTCAGAGCAATAAAAGCAAAGGGCATCATTTGCCTGGTTCGCTAGAGTTCTGCATCCAGAATAGTAGAAAAAATAGATTTTTAAAAGGCAATGGACACATATTAGCAAATAGTCCAAAGAAAATGAATCATCTTGTTTGAAGCAATAAAAAATAAGAGCCGCAAAATATAAATTCTATAGAAGCAGATATGTAGATATGTATATAAATAATATATTACACAACTATTGAATAAAAAGCTTGCAGATGTAATAGATGTGAGTAATAAGCAACATGGATTCATGATCAATACTTTTAAATCACATTGCACAAAAGATTTGAGTTTGGACTTTCAAGAACTCTGTTATGCAATTGGATTAGGGGAATACAATAGTCTGCAAATCTGGGTTTCCTACCCACTGGCCATTAAGTTACAGTCAGGTTTATCTTAATGTTTTTCTGCCTATGGCGTTTTCTCAGCTTTGACAAGATGTGTGAACTTTAACTCCTAGCTGGCTCTGGAATTCTGAGGGATTAATTCCATGAATATTAAAGTTGCCAGCATATTTATTAAAGGCCTTTGGCTTCTAAATGTGTTGAACCAGTGTTTCTCAACCACGGCAATTATATTGTGTGTGGTCTTCAACTCCCAGAATTTCCCAGCGAGGGAAAAGACTGACTAGGGAATTCTAGGAGTTGAAATCCACACATCTTAAAGTTGCCAAGGTTGAGAAATACTGGTTGGACTTCATTGTTCCTAATCAACATTGCCAATTGCTTTATTTACAGTTTTTATATATCTGCAGGAATGTTGCTCCTAGTATGTCTGGAACTTGCCAGTCTGGGAAAGACTGAATTGTTTCCTCTGTCTTTCAGTTCTAAAGTTCTAGTCCATGAAGAACAGCTGCCAAGCAATTAGCCATACTCGATATCTGCAATTTTGTACAAGAATTCAAAGAATACCTTTTCAATATTGACTACGTTGACAAAACCCACACACTGTTTGGTAATAAAAGTAAAAATGCCATACATCATTTAGAGTTAACATATTCTGGGCCTGTTTGTTATTCAGTTCTCACCAGCCCATCTGAATTTCGAAACTATGGAGAAAAGCATAGTTGCCAGAGTTGCATGGAAATGTTGCTGAAGAGACTACAAGTCTGCAAGTAAACAAGTTAAAACAAATGTCTAATAGCTTGCCAAATAACACTTTTTTTTTAAGTCTGGGCAAATTTACTGCTTTGCTCTGGAGCAAAGTTTAATTGAGAAATGTTAATTTACAACAATGTGTGTGAGAGAGGGAGGGAGGGAGGGAGAGAGTGTCCGCCCTCTGGAAGTAAGGCTTAGTTGTTACATTACAGAATGACAACCGATCAAAGCACATTGTGGCTAAAGCTTATTCATTTTTATTTTGATCTATATCCACCTTTTTATCAAGGGAGGCACTCACAGCACCCAGCAATTAAACATAAAATGTGTTTTAAAGTATTAATAACTTCTATCCAATTTTGATTTATAACACGTATAACAGAATCTGGCTAATGTTGTCTGGGTTTATAAGCTAAGCAAGGTTTTGTCTGGATATTATTTGAATAGGAGACCACCAAGAAGTTCCCTGATAGTTTGAGTTGAAAAACCAGAAGGCAACTGTAAATCACTTCCATATTTTCCCCCAAGAAACCAACATGACATTTTCCTGAAGTCACAGGAAAGCAAGCTTGACTTTACCCAGTCTTTTACCTTCATCCAGCCAGCTGATCTGTTGATGCAGGAAGCAAGATTGCTAATGTCCCTGTGCTAATAGTAGCAGCAGCTGGAGATCTGCAGCTTAATTCTCGGAAGAGAAACAGAGATGAAGGTGGTAAGATTGTGTAAAAATGCATAAATAAAAGTAGGAATACCTTATTAGTACATGTAACATTTTACTGATAATCTATGCAGTAAAATCTTTTGTTTCCCCATATCTTATAATGTTATAACTCCTTGCAGGTAAGCAGTATTTGAGGGAATCTTAATCTTTGTGGTCAGAAGACTACAAAATTGGTAGGTCAGCATTGTGCATGTGGGAATTTGAAATGATTGGAATTATTCTCTTAGTAGTGTAATTGTGATATCACCATTCGTGGCACGACAAAACCACCTCGACTAGGCCACGCCCGATTAAACCGCATCGCTGATGTCATCAACAGGGCGGCAACAGCGAGTGCGGAGAAAGAAGGGCGCTTTAAATAGCGCTTTGAAAGCAAGCNGGAGGGAGGGAGGGAGGGAGGAAGGGAGGAAGGAAGGAAGAATTTTTAACACTCACTGCCAAGTTCCCACAAGGAAATTCAATGGGTAGCCAACAGGAAGTCAGAAATCATTCCTGTTCATGGTCATTCTGTTTCTTTCTTTAGGTAAGAAAATATCTGTGAAATGATGACCCAAAGGGTCACAGGTTATCTAGTATACCATTAAAACTCTCATGTCTGTAACTTTTAATTGGGTGAAACAATGCATCATAGGCTAAAAAACTTTCAACCAAGGTACTTCAAATTAGCTAATTTACAGAATGCTGGGATCCATTACTCCCATGGGAATGAGATTTTGGATTTTTTTTGCCATTGTTATTTATGGTCATGTGATGCTCATTTACAACCTTCCCTGGAATCTTCTCATAAATCAATGGGGAGCCCAGGGAAACTTGCAGGGAAACAATCAATGAGGATCATATGAGTACAATTGATGGTAGGAATGTGGCTGGGAAGTTAAATTTATATTCTCTGTCTAGTGAGGAGATATATCCGAAAGGATGATCCAACAGGTCACAGGTTGTCTAGGAAAAACTAAAAGCCTGTGTAGTCTACATTCCAATTATTTTGAAAAAAGAGGAGCCCTTGAGTAAATCTTTTGAGCTCTTTAGAATTTTCTAGAACTTTTTCTTTTAAGTTTTTAATTATGTAAGAAACTTTTATATATACGTTACTTTCTACTTCCAAACAACGCAAAGATATAGCAGAGCACAGGGCCAAAGCAACCTATTCCAATAGCCATAAAAACAATTTCAACTTTAAAAGGATAAAACAGTTGTCAATTTCTATGGGAAAGTCCCATAGATTCTTTATTATAAGTTTTTAAACTAGAGGCCAGATAACCACTACTGTCTACAAAGAAGATCAGATCGAAAATTTTTAGATCCATCACCTATTCCCAGCATGTGCAGCCTTAATTTCCCATAATGCCTAGCTTTATGCTTTGTCCTGAGGCATTATGGGAAATGAAAAAAGAATGTAACTGCTGGCAATGATGCTTTAACTGCAGAAGCACTACTGCTCAATAAGCCTACTGTGAAATCTTTTTACTANTCTGCATGCCATCTATGCCATCACGGATATACACCAAAGAGAAATTCCTTGTGTGTCCAATCATACTTGGCTAATAAAGAATTCAATTCAATTCTATTCTTTGACTTACTTATAACCTACCAGCTCATGACCGACTCTGAACTCTTTCTCCTTGTGCAAGTACAGGTGGTCCTTGACTTATGACCACAACTGAGCCCAACATTTCTGTTGCTAAATGAGACATTTATTAAATGAATTTTGCCCCATTTTACAATCTTTCTTGCCACAGTTGTTAAGCGAATAATTGCAGTTGTAAAGTTAGTAACATAGTTGTTAAGTGAATCTGGCTTCCCCATTGATTTTGCTCATCAGAAGGTCGCAAAAGGGAATCACATGATCACAACTCTACATCCGTATGCCTCCACCTGTCTTGGTCTGGACAGACAGCTATCACTGATTTAAATGTAGATATACCAAAACATGGATATAAACTATGGATTAAGGAATTTCTCCTTGGTCACAATTAACAATGCACTGCACTACACTTAAATAGTCATAACTTGGATGTCTTCTGAACAAGGTTAGTTTTACCCGCTCGGGCTCCTGACGGTTGGATGAAGATTGTGGTTTCCAGAGTCACTTTGAACCCCAAGAAATGGCACATAAATTAAATAAATAAATGCAACCCAGATGAGGATCTCATTGGAAAATGTCATCACTGGTGGATATAATCATAGCTTAGTCTTTTTTGCCTATCTCGTCCACTTTTTCTTGCCTGTTGGTAATTTTCAGGATCAGAGGGAACATATCTGTGAGGGCAGGTGGACCTACTTCAGGGGTGAAATGCTACCGGTTTTCCCGAATAGTAAAAAATGCTATTGGTTTGGGCAAATCGGTATTTCCAACGATCAGTTGTGACGCACGATTTATATTAGCTAGAATTGTCAGATTTCCTGCTTTCTAGCTAATCTAAATTGCTTGGCACAGTGGATTCTCTCCCCCTACCGCCCCATTCTACTTGCCTTTGCAGGCACACTCGGTAGCAGGCTCGTCCCATTTTGACACTCTGGGCATATGTGGAAGGTCCTGTGCATGCGTGGAGGTGGTATGTGTGAACACGCTCACATTGCTACCGAACCAGTAGCAAAGGTAAGTTGACTTCACACCTGCCCTACTTGTAGCCTTCCCAAAGACATCTGGCTGGCTAGAACAGGAAGTCAGATGCTGAATTTTGACATATGTTGGACCTTATGCCCACTAAGGACTAAACTACAGCCAATGGTAAAGATATTATAACATCATCTTCTGTCAAATAAAATCAACACTTGAGGATCCTAAACACATTTATTTGAAAGTGCGGACAGGAATGCTATTTGCCCTCAGCCAATTTAAACATGGAACCTCTGTGTTCAGAAACAGAACAAACACCTGGAAAAGTTTATTTTTATCTGGAAGGCCTGAATTGAAACCTTTATGTGATGGCGGTCCACAAGGATTATTTTGGGACTTCCTAATCTGAAGGTGCCTGTGGATGCAGTTATTACCCATTTGCTCCATGATCTCACCATCCCAAAAGGACAACATGGAGCAGCCAATCCTTGGCCAGTAACCAAAATGACACTGGGAAGTGAGGTGGGAAGTAAAGAAGGACAGATTTTGAGAGTCAGGAGAATGCTGGGAATGGATGGGAGAAGGGTGAGAAATCTACATCCAGAAAAACTATTAGGAGGTTTTAGAAAAAAATTGGCAGGAAAAAAAAAAGTATGCAGACTTACTTTTTCCAGAAAATTTAACTGTTTGGACCTTTAAAGAGGTATCCATTCTTTGGGCAGTGACCTGGCCGACCCATCTGGCTGTAGAGATCCATTCTCTGCTGCATGCTGTAAAGTCAAAATTGAACCGTGATGGCAAAAGGAACAATTCAATGTCTTGTCTGTTGTGCAATAATATGAGGTAAAAAATAACTGACCAGGGGGTGATGTTGCAATTGAAGGATTGTCTGTTGAATGCAGACAATTGTCTGAAACACATATTTCAGATTCCAGAAAAGCTACCCACTAGTCACAAATTGATCATTGCTATGCTATTTCTCTTTATATTATGTGCATTTGAATAAAAGTATTCCATGAGCATGCAATGCTCTAGAAAGGTTAGTTAGATGGCCACATTTCCACATAATGCTAGGCCATTAAGGTCAGTTTTTATAAGATACTTGGGGATCTTCTAAAAATCTTCAAATTTATTCTTTATTCACCCCCTTTTTCCCCACCTCAGCCTTGTCTGTTCATTGTCTCCAGGTTAAGCACACACTCCCTCACCAATGATTCTGGGTTTAGGACTTCTTGGATATCCTTCTCCTGTTATGTCATCCTCCTTTTCTTCATTGCTATACAATTCTTCAGTCTTCGAATTTTCCCGTCTTTTTGTGAATTTCTTTTTCCTACAACCTGCTGTGTTCTCTGGAATGTATTACCTCTCTCCCTAATATGTTCTCTCAAAATCTTGGATGATTCTTCAGCTCAACCAAATTAATGGGACTAGCATTAGGCAGACACCATGCAGTGACAAACAGCTAGACCTGAGGCAAGTTTCCAACTAGCTGAAAATGGAGACCATCATCCTGTATTAGATCTTCTCCAAAAACAGACTTACTGAATGTGGACAGTAATCCCTACTGTGTTATGTGTAGCCAGGCACTGTGGTTTATAAAGTTGTGATTATGGCTTGCCTCTGACCTAGGCAACAAACTAAGTCACTGTAATATATCATTTCCTGCCTTAGAATCAATTATCGAATTTATGCCATTTTGAACCATGGTTTGTTTCAAATACTGTTACTGAATAGGCCTATGATTGGATTAGTCAAAGTAAATATTATAACATTTCAGCTCTACAGTAATTTGCAAATCCAGCTGATCTTCTTTCCTTTGATTTCATGCTAATTTATTGTTCTGAACCAGAGAATAATTCCATGGAGAAAGCCTTCTGTGATCTACTTCACACACACAGGCCATGATCCCTTTCCCTATGCATGAAAATGTGCATCTGTGAGTTTGCCCTTTAGGAGTGGTACCCCCAAAAGCCCCCACACAGCTGCAGACAAAGGTGGGGGGGAAATTGGCAAAAATCAGACTCCTTGCAAAAAAGAAAGAGCAAATTAGGGGCCCCTGCATGGTAGCGTTTTGAGAAGGCTTCTTTACCAACTCGGAAAACATAAAAGAATGAGTCTATTCATCAGTTATCTGATGTCTTTTGATACTTTTACCCCACTGGCAAATTATTGCAAGGCACCCTTATTAGTGGTAAGCATAGGATTCTTGTCCTGTTCATCATTGCGATTCATACAATGTTTTGCCTTGCCTTGATGAGGATTACCTAGGGTAATAGGTGGTGTAGTTCATAAAGAGCTGAGTGCCGGCTGGATAGTATGCTGTGGATGGCTGGAGGGTTCGTGGATTGAGGAATAGGGATGGCTGGTAGAGGGCTGCTTCTGTTGGAATTATTGCAGTGGGTGTTGGAAAAGAATACGAAGGTGGAGAAATACCTAAGAACAGGACAAGACACAGGAACCATCAGTCAAAATACTCCCTGCAAACAGATGATAGTACACTAGCTAAAATTTGGGCAGCATTCTTGAACATATCTGCAATTCATGAGATTAATTTATGTGGATTTTTCTTCAATTCCAGCAGATATACATACATACATACATACATACATACATACATACATACATACATACATACATACATACACACACACACACACACACATATATGTTTTATTTGTGCTGATAAATAAATAAAGGGAGACTAGTATAGATCTATTTCAAGCTATTTAGCTCTCATCATTTATCTCAACAAATAAAACACAAATATAACAAAGGCAACAGTAAAAATATTGGGTTTTTTNGGTGAGATTTGAACAGCCAAACTGCAGAACTGCAGTCAGCTGAAGTAGCCTGCAGTGCTGCATTTAACCACTGCGCCACCTCGGCTCTTAAGCAGCTGGCTAGGGAATTCTGGGAATTGAAGTCCACAGGACTTAAAGTTGCCAAGGTTGAGAAACACCGACCTAGATGATAAGGATGGCAGTTAAGGAAATAAAAAGTGTCTTATAGAATTTTGAAGAGTCATAATTTTGAATCATTAGTTGATGGATAGGTTGTGAGGGGGGAAAGGAATACAGTTTTCAGTCTTTCTTAAAACAGGTCCAACTTAGATTTTTGGAGAGGAAAAACCCAACTTGAAAGACCAACTGTTTATTTACCCACCCTACCTGTCCATGTACAGAATTCAATAATTCAGTAAACTGATTTAAAAGAGTTTAATATTTGTGGAAGACAAAACTGTAATGTGAGTCAAAGAGCATAACATTCATTCATTAGGTCTGAACAGAATCCAGCAAGAACAATTCCAATCTATTTTTACAACAGTGACATAGCCCCTGTATGCTTTTGATATAAAAACTGTGTGATTTTGATAATTCATCAGGGATACCAGCAGAAAAAATGATGTAAAACATTAAAATGAGAATTTCCATATCCCAGCCCCTTACAGTGTTGTGATCTATACATTTTACTGCACACATTTTAATTCCTTTCTCCATAGGAAAGACAATGGTGGGGAGAAACTTTCTAACTGTCCAAGTTTAATTAATACTAATATTTATAAGTTATATATTGACTTCTGGAAAGAGTAGAATTGTTTAAAGATTTGTACACCATTAATAACTTCTCCTCTGTTACATTATTTGACTAGAGGAATTTAAATATACAGTAGTCATGTGCAATATACAAATTTTAGAGCATTACATTATTCTATATATTTATATATTTATAAGCTATATTTTACAAAATGATACACCATACTCTCCCCTCCTCACCCCATACTGCATTTTACACTGACAAGTAAACCTGCCTAGAGCCTGAAAAATATTGTTAAACAAATAAATATACACGAATCAAGGTGTTTACACACCCAAGTACACATACATCGGCATATATACACACAAATACAAATGCAACATTCACACAGAAACAACCCCACCAATGGCATAAATCTGAAGGTCTTCAGACCTTTTTATTTTATTTTTAAAATGTGCATGAAACTAGAAAAGTTGGTTTGCCATGATGTGTTGTATCAACAAATGTTAGGAGTGCCTTAACCTTGGTAGGATACTTTTAGTGATCACAGATAAATGTAATGTTTGGATATAGATAGCTACAAATATTCTTCCCTTGTGAATTTGGCAGCTGTGATTTCCGGTAGTGCTTTTATGTGGTCCCCAAGGCTTTCAGTGGCAAGTATAGAATGAGAGATGGAGAAAGATTATTTCTGGGGTGACATGTATGCTATTTCTGGGGTAACATTTAAAAAAAAAAAACCACACAATTTCCTGATATCAACAGATATCCAAGATGGTGGAGCCATGTAGAATTTGGAGCCTGCTCAGCGGGATTTCCATTTTGTTCAGTGAAGTTGTATAGGATGTGAACTGGAGCCTATAACAAATACAAAAGGACTGGATCATGTCATTCGTATGGTTACATACATATAAGCCTTAACCTACAAATATTGGCTTAACGTCTGCACGCTTCACTTAACAACTACACTGATTCACTCAGCAACTGGGGAAAAAGTTATAAAATTGGAGGCGGCTCACTTAACAATAGCCTTGCTTAGCAACAGAAATTCTGACCCCCAATTGTGGTTGTAAGTTGAAGACCATAACTGTTTGGTTTGACTCTGCAACCAAACAAGATAAACACAGACTTCAACGGATAATTAGAACTGCAGCAAAAACAATTGCTACCAACCTGCCTTCCATTGAGGACCCATATACTGCAAGAGTCAAAAAGAGGNGAAAGATGGTTTAATGGTGGACAGGATCACATGGTTTGAGCTCCTGAACAGAAAAGGGGAATCACATGTTTCAAGATGTTGGGTGAAGAAGAGAGCGAGATGCTGAAAGTTCCTGGTTTTATGCCCTCTCTGGCCTTTGATCATGAGCTTGTATTCTGATTGGCTGTCAGACTCCCATGGGACCATGCAGGGGCAAGTCTGTAGGTTGTGCTTTGAGTCCAAGTTTGGTTGACCATTGCTTCTTCCCAGATGCCCTGTGGTGAGATGGGCAAAGGGCTAATACTATCATGTTTTAATCCCATCGCCCTGGGGCTGAAGGAGGAGATCATTATGTAGAATAGACTGGCTTTGGCTTTTTAATGGCCCAATGACAAAGGTGGGGGCTATTAAGAGTGAGTCTGTTTCCTGCCTAAAACATGTTTGTCCATTTCTTATACAGGGAAATGTAATATTCTGCCTTTTTCAACATTTCCCAGGATATTTCATTTTTCTAGGAGAGGTGTGGGTTTTAACTTCCTACAGAAGTGATTGATTTTGAACTCCCTCTTCTGGAATGGCCCAGAATTAATGTCCGTTATCCCAGCAGTGAGCAAGAATCCATGCCCGTCTCTTTGGCAAAGAGTATCTTTGCTCATAGGGAAAATGGATGTTGTGACCTATTCCTAATGAAAAAATCTCCCCTCTCTAGATTAAAATTTTAAATGTTCCTAAAGCTGATGCAATAAAAGATATTGTGGAACCCAGTAAATCAGTTGGACTGGTGAAAATGGAAAAGGTGTGGATCTGGACTCTATTCCTGATGACCACAGATACATCAGCAGCAATGCATGAGGGGTTGACTGCTGTACCTTAATTGTGCATTCTTGGGATTCCCTCTGGTGGCTTCCTGTCCAAGTACTAACTACCGTAGTCTTAACCAAAGATCTAAAGAAGCTTCTTGGATGAGAAGCAAAATGAAAGAAAAAACAGAAAGTCCAGTTGAAAAAAAGCACCTTTGGGATAGTCTTAACTGTATTTCACTTTCTGAGATCAGCCAAGGTCAGTTTGATGCTGCCACCTAGATCAGTGTTTCTCAACCCTGGCAACTTTAATAGCAGTAGCAATAGCAGTTAGACTTATATACCGCTTCATAGGGCTTTCAGCCCTCTCTAAGCGGTTTACAGAGTCAGCATATTGCCCCCNAGGGAAGGGTCAGGGTGTGCAAAGTCTTAGATAGGCGGTACCAACCATTATGTGGTAGAGAAATCAGTTGACTAAAATGACCCAGAACAGGATAGGTACAAGTGAGATCCGCTACTGAGAGCAAATATCACCCTGTATACAGTAATTTGTTGACAAAACTCGTTTGGCACTGGGGAAAGTTCCTAAAAGCAGAGTGACTACTACAAGGGCAGTTGCTGTATTCTATTATTGATATCAGTTTAGCTCAGTGTTTTTCAAACTTGGCAACTTTAAGATGCCTGAACTTCAATTCCCAGAATTCCCCTCTAGTCAGCCCCATATTAAACACTGAATGTAAATGCATACTTGTGGCTTATTGTTCTCAAGCCAAGAAAGGCAAAGGTAAAATAAACACACCCAGGTAGCGCTTTTAAAACTAAGTTTATGAAACGGTCAAGCACATATTACACAATGGAGATTTTAGACTTTGGAGCCTAATAGTAATTCATGGGGTCTTGCCATCAATCTTTCACTGGCTGAAATAATGGTAATGGGTGGCACTGAAAGACAAATAATGTTGTTGTTTTTTAAACTTTAAACCATCAACTTTAAAATATATAGATTTTAAGTCCCAGAATTCCTCATGCTGACTGGGGAATTGTGGGAGTTGAAGTCCACATACAGCATCTCAAAAGTTGCCATTTTTGAAAAACATTAGTTTGCCACGTACTTTTTACACTGTAGCAATTTAAAAACACCTGGTGTAAATTCTAGCTTATTTCCTACCTCAGGTGTTTTGAATACAAAGCTTTCAGAAAGGAATTGATATATTAATTCAGATAGAATTATCTTTTATCAGGAAGCTTGGTGTGTTTCCACCCTGTGTTAATCCTCATCTCTCTTTGGTGTTTTTTCTAAGGCATTTAGTCTCCTCCTATGGTCTTTTAACCTATTTTAATATACTTTTGTGGTCTGTTTAACCTATTTTATTATTAAATTTGTTTGGTTCTACTTTAGCCAGTTGCCAACAGACCAGAAAGCAATAATAAGCGCGTTTAGGCATATGTAAATAGCAATTTGCAGCACTCTTTTGTTGGATTACAATTTAGAAGTATTATTTGCATATTGCTCCCAACAATTTGGGCCCTCATTTTATAAACCTCAGAAGGATGGACGGCTAAGTCAACTTTCAGCGCTGTCATGATCGAACTCCAGGCTGTGGACAGAGTTTGCCTGCATCAGGGCTGTCAAACTTCTGGCCTGTGGGCCAGATGTGTCACATACTGGACCCACCCACACCCGGTTTAGTGAATGCAAAAAAAGTCACGATATGTCACGTGAGGCCACTGCGATGCCACGAGTTTGACACCCCTGCTACACATTAACCATTGTGTCACGAGGCCTCACATGGTCACAAGAGTGTTGTGATCACAGAAGTAGAACTTTTAAGACTGGTCATAATCCCCACTCATTCAGCACCATCATACTTTCCAACAATTGCTGAACAAGAGGTCATTAA